TATACCTACTTTTGAGAACTGCTAAGGACCAGATGATTTTTATTATGTCCTGATATGTAAAGCCATAGAACTCAAAGAGGGTGTACTTTCTTTTTCACACGGCTGTATATAATATAAAGAGCCCAGTTGAATCTAGTCCACTGTAAAGTTTGTAGCAGTATTTGGCTGGATATTTCTAGCAAGCCAAAGCCAGCCATGAATGCAATACATTTCTGCTATCCTCCATCATCTTCCTGACATCCACTGGCATTTAAATGTATGCTGCAAAGTAGCCTCTTGTTTTGCTTGTATGTTTTGAAAACTTTACCTAGTTAGAGGAAATTTGTCTTGTCATGCTAACTCTCCAAAGGAAACATCGGTACAGAACAGGATACTATCGCTTTTGCAATATATTTCTTGTTGCTTGCTTAGCTGACCTAGCTCCTGCAATGTTAAGGATAGAGCAAGAGCAAATCACAACCCAAATAAGGATCAGGAAGTACTATTGATCTACTCTGACCTACTAGTCAATAAGGTTTCTTTGCCAAGAGTGGGTGGTCTCCTTGAAATTTCCTTCTTTGGCCAAAGCAGGAGGATGCTATTGCACTTGGGCTCTTGTTTAGAAGCCTTAGCCACCACCTGAAAACCCACAGCTCTCTCAAACATGCCCAGCCCTTAATTTCAAATGATCCAGTACAAGGTTCAGAATGGAATAAAAGTTAAGATCACAGATGTTCCTAGTAAAACATGTGGACACCACAGGTCTATGCCATGCTTAAGTATATTGCACATCATAATTATGCTATGTTAAAGAAGGCTATAAAGAGTATTCCCTGTAGTGTTATAATGACAGATTATTTTTATGACACTGCATTTCCACAGTATATATAGAGTGGATGCAATGATACTTCATAAACTTGTATAACTTTGCTTTAAGTAGCAGCTTAAAGTAGCAGCTGTGTACCTATGACATACTGGGTACATCCACAAGAATATTACTCAAGCACTTAACTGTGCAATCATTACACATATCTTACATTTTTCTACATGTACGTTAATAGTATTTGAAGGAGCCTATCTGAGAGTGCAAATGAAAATCAGGATCAGATAATTAAAAGTACACATAGGCAAGCCTTACTCCCAGGTAACTGCACAGGATTGCAATCTTTCCTACTAAAAGGAGAGGCAAAGACATTGAAATATTAAAGCAACCAACTGATAATTCACTACCAACAAAATATTCCCATGGGTTAATCAAGTACAAAGCTAAACACATCTATTTAGCCTCTTGAACAGAATATTTTCTGAACTCTAAAATAAATCCTTCCCTAATGTTCCACCTCCAGTTATGGTTATCTCAAATGTTGGGTGTGGAAAGTTCACTTTTGTCTTACTATTGTTAATTCTTTCAGTGAGAAAAAAAGTGTTCATATCACCTGTAAGCAGCAGCATGGGTGCAATAGGGAAATTCACTAAATTCTTTGGCAATCTTGTCTTTCTATTTGGCTCCCCATAATTGCTTTGCCTTCATTCTCAAACTGATTTCACAAGTTAAAGCTAATATATAAAGAGGTAAAAGAATAATGGCTTTCACTTGAGACTTATGACTTTATGTGCTCTATACTCTAAGAAATTCAATTCTGAAATGAAAGGTTTAGAATATGACATTTACCTCCATGTCCATATTTAGAATGCCCTTATTTTCCCTAAGGGCATTTTTTTACACTTATAGCTTCTGATGAAAAGCATACTTTTGTGGCCTAATAAAAAGGTAAAACAAGGCTGTATTCTATTTCTAATTTTATCTTGAATATATTTTATATACGGAAGTCTCTATTTTAATATGGAGTGCTATACATAGTGAGATTGAGTAAGGAAATGTCCTGGCAATATGGACATTTAATCAAAATGTGGATTCAATCTGGAATTTAACTCTCCTGGGAGAATTAGCCATCTCTCTGGTGATTCCCTCACATATCCAGACCAAATCTGGGAAGTCAAGATATTTGAAAGAGTTGTCTTTCCTAGTATTTGAACCCACTGGCTTGACATAAGGTGAAAAGCCAAGATATAAACTTCCCCTGAATTAATCTGAGCTTACTTATATCATGTTTCCTAATCACATTTCTGCTTAACTTAGCGATACTTCATCAATGCCTTAAAAAGCAACAAATCCAAGGATAAAACAGTAGTAGGTATAGCATGGCTTCTAAGAAGACCAGCTGAAATAAATTTGAGTTGAATTATTATTATTTTTTAAATTTTTATCCTGCCTTTATTATTTTTATAAATAACTCAAGGCGGCGGACATACCTAATACTCCTTTCTCCTCCTATTTTCCCCACAACAACAACCCTGTGAGGTGAGTTGGGCTGAGAGACAGCGACTGGCCCAAAGTCACCCAGCCGGCTTTCATGCCGAAGGCGGGAGTAGAACTCACAGTTTCCTGGTTTCTAGTTTGGTACCTTAACCACTAGGCCACACTGGCTGTCAAACTGGATTTGAAAATCCAGAGGCTTTTTACTTCTACTAGCTCTGTGGTACACTAACTTTAAAAAATGTTTTGTTAACCTGAGGATAGGGTTTATTTTACTATGGGAATTCTGCCGGTTTGCCATGGAGGCTGATTGCTAGAGGGAAAGAAGGTAGTGAGCAACTCTTATGAGGAGTAGAGTAAGGAAAGTGACTTTGATGGAGATATGCAGGTGCTATTGCCTAGGGAAAAGGGGCTAAAGCACTTTTAAAGTCCAGAACATCCAGCTAATGTTTGGAAATGGCTCAGACAGACACCTCACTAATTCATTCAACTATAATAGGAGGAGGGACAGACTAGTAAGATTCTGTTATTGCAGCCAATCTCAATAAAAGTAGTTTTAGCCATCCTGTGGAATTGATTTCATGGTCTGGCCTACCTAGTGGGGCTGACTCATAGAACCTGCCTGCCCTACATGATCTAGCAGAGGGATAATGGCATTCTCAGTACAGTCCCCTCCAAAACAGCTTGCCCTCTGAAGTATGATGTGCCGTAACCTGATGCATATTTGTAAAGTGGTAAAGATAGTCCTCTTCAGAACAGCATTCTGGCAGGAATAACAGCAGGTTTTACATACAGGATTTCATGGTTGTAATTGTTTATTTAATTTTTTTTTTTAGTATTTTATGTTTTTTTAAAAACATAATTGTGAGGGTCATGAGAATAGCTGCATACAAATGGTTGTAAATAAATAGATTAACACAAATTGTAATAAAATAGAATATCCAAGAACATTCCTTGAAATGCATGAGACAACTATTTCATTGAAGCTAAGTAAGGTGTGGACAGTGCCAGACCAACTAAGGATTCTTCAGTGCCATCATGGAAACAAGATGTGATACAAATACATTAACTAAATTAAGATACTTTGTATTAAGTTGTATATATATCATTTATATCAAAAAATGACAATGAAATGCTTTGAGCAAGCACAAAGTGTATACAAATAAAAAACTGTGAGACTTGTTTTCCTAAGTGATAATTCTGTGCATTTCCAGAAGAAATGGTGGAAAGAATCTGTCTCTCTAATCTTGGTTGTCTACTATAATTACTTTGCACAATATCAACCATGACATACTACAACATCTGTTTTACTGTATTCAAATAGATCTCACCATACAATAAAGGATTTGTTCTCAAAAGGCACATAGCAAAATATTTATAACTGAAACAGCTGCTCAGGGCTGTCAGTGTTCAAGAGACTAGAGCCATGGCATCAAGATTGACATCTTATCTTTAAAGAACAACAGTAACTGAGATGGCAGCAAACAGCTGCCAAGAGGACATCTGAGGACATCCTAGTTTTAAATGTAAAAAAATCCAGTAAGATGCAAGTAGCAAACAGGTTGGACCAAGGACTGTTATTGGATAAGTTTAGCTTATTTTAATCCTGCTCCCAGTTCAAATAGAAGGGAATATGTTAATTTCAACTATATACAGAGGAAGGAGGTCAGACTTACCAGTCAATGAACCTGTTTACATTAATAGATAAAGTTTGACTGATCCATTCATGAAGATTGGGTCCAACTGGAAGAATCCCAGCTACGTAATCAGCACTTGGTCACAAGGAGAAGACCATGTGATTGTGTACAGGAAGTTACAGCTGACAGACTGCCCTGATCCATGTGTGTCCCGAGCAAATTGTCTGAATGCCCCAAAATTAAGTGATTCAGCATGAGCGCTGATAGATTACTACTTGGAAGTTTATTTTGAAAAACTGAGAAAACAGACCAGTGAATATTGGCATTCAGAATATTCATTTGGAATTGCCAGTGTCTACATGTAAGTGTCTACTCAGTACATTTTGGTCATTCATATTATATGCTCTTTAACATATACAATTGCAAATATATCTTTGTACTTCCTCTGCACAATTGTTTCATTTAACAGTTTAAAACAAGCTCATCAACAGCAAGATGTGAAGTGCTATAAATCTAGGCTTATTGTGTGCATTTGTGTGTATGTGCTAACAAAAGTATTGAAAAAGCATTTTAAAATAATGACATTCGACCATTCATTTTATGGCAATACCTCACAAAATTACAATGCAAATATGTTTATTTTTAAGATCAGAAAGGAATCTTGATCAACCTATCCAAGGAAAAAAGTATATTTCTTGATATACTATCAAGAAATAGATTCTGTCCCTTTCAAATGGGAACCATTGTAGCATATGTGTGCTTTATAAAATTTAGGCCCAAACACTTCATTCTGAATAGCAAATGAAATGGCTTTGGAGAAAATTCAAGATCGTTAATTGAATCATAATATGTTGCTTGTATAATCTATCTTCCTCCAATGCTATTTTGTTTGTCTGTTGGAAATACCATTTTAGAATAATTCAGCTTCTACTTTCCAAGAAACAAGTTTTCATGAATATAAAGTGCTCAACAAATACATTTTGCTAAGAAAGAAAAAAGAAAATATGTCACAAAATCAAAACCTGGTTAGGGATCTGTCTTTGTATAGAGAATTCCCACCCAGAAACTGGAAAATGAAAGACCTATTCTATATACGTTATTACACATCTATTATTTCTGTAGAGTTAGACATGTAAACAACCCATCCAGCTTCTTTTTAATAATACTGCTGAAGGGAGAGAGTATAGATTTTAGTTTTGATTGCTATCCCAATCAAAGTTTGTTTTCTTATTTAGATTTGTATTTAATCTTTTCTTTAAAATTCAGTGAATAAGTATATTATTTAATTGTAATATATATATTGCATTACTACAATGCAGGTTGTCAAAACAGTTCAATTTGTAGTAAAATTTGTAGTGCAGATTGGTAGAGATCTAGTCATAGATGCGCACATGGACACAGAGTTATGTACAGAGTATACAAATGTTATATATGCTAAATATTTTGAAAAAGCAATTTAAAATACACAAGACACTTCACCTCAATTATTCCACATTCAGAAACTAAAACCATATTGGAAAATGCTTCTTAGTATCCAAATACTGTACTGAATTAAACTTTTTAACAGTTTGAAAAGTTAAGACAAATGAACGGCCAATTTAGGGTGAAAAGCAAGACACACATACTATGTTGTACTATATTCAAGGTGTTGAATATATGTTGTACTCAGCAAGGTTTGCAGGACATCCACCCCAATATAGCATAACATTTTAGCCTACTAAAAGCAATGGGGGAAATGGTCTAGGATCCAAAGAGTTTCTCTGTACGAATCTGTATGTCCTTAGTGGGATTTTTAATCCTCTGCCCTTTATTAAACTTAAGGTAGGCAACTGGTGGCACTTAGCCAGCATGTGGCTTTCTGCATCCTCTGCCATCGGAACCCAACACTTTCTAAACTAATTTAGTTGTATCAGATTTGGACTGCAAAAAATTGGATGTCCACAAGTTGGCAGTGAAGAGACACAGAAACCTCTAACTCTTTCCTGCCATCTAGTGATCATCTGACTCTCTGTAGCCCAGAACTAGTAGCTCTAGCCAATTGCCCTTGTTATTGCCAACAATCTCTGGGCAACTGAATGTCCTTGGGGAGGAGAGGGTTAAGCTCCACTCCATAGGAATCCTACATTTCCAGTATCTGAAACAGAGTGAATTAAAAGATGAAAATGGTTTATTTTCCCTCCTGTTCGACACTGTTACGATTAAAAAAAATGAGAGAGAAAGTTAGCTTCCTATTTTGAAATCTTTTTTCTCTCTTGTATGATCAACAGTGCCTCTCATTCTAAGGTAAAATACTACAACTGTATTTTCATCCAGAATTGAAAGATAAATGTTTTATGAGTTGTCGAGGGCAAAGGGGGAATCACCTTGGTTGCTTTATTAGTTGTCTGTTAATTTCTCCTTTACAAATCTACTCTTCTTGAAGAACCATGTTTCTGAGAGGACCTTAACATACATTCTACAGGAAAACTTAGAAGATAAAGTAATCCTCTTTTCTCTTAGCTATAAAGTTTACATGCTAGTAAGAGTAAACCTCTTACTTGTCTGCCCTTGCATCTATAAATACAAATATACACCTGTTCACACACATTCAGTAAAACTGTTAGGTAGCTAGAGGATTGCTTATGCTGGTCACACACCTGCTAGCCATACCATCTTGCAGCCTATATTTTGCAGTACTTAAAAGGAAACTCTGTATTCAGATGTGTCTACACCAGTGTTGTCCAAACTTGGCCACTTTAAGATGAGTGGACTTGAACTCCCAGAATTCCCCAGCCAGCCAA